GAGGCCACGGCCAGTTTTTAAAATATTTTTATTTCTGTTCCGGTCATCACCAAAATTACACTAAAGCCGGGCTTGAATATACAACAAATTTTGAATCTCATCAAGTACAAAAATATTTAACGTGTAACCCAAATATGCTCATGAAATCGAAAGTAGCTAAATTTTCAAACCAGACCCTTCTCGAAGTGCTTTTCATGAAGGAAGTTCACATTTCGGCCTTTGATTCTTGGCAAAAATTTGACAACACGTGCGAAGCAACTGGGTCTCAAAGACTCAGCTAAAACATTGTGAGCCCCTATTTTCCTGACGATATGTCAGACATTTAGCTATATTTGAAATTGAGGCCACGGGCTATTTTTGAGAAAATACAGTTCAAAGTCAAGCTATTTTTTACATATTTTCAAAACTTGTCAAATTTCGCGAGCTTGTATTTCGAACTTAGACAGCTGAAGTTACATTAAGAAACATAGGATGGAAAATTTGAGGCATATAAAGTTAATTTCCACTCACATTTCATTCTCTTATCACGTCTTTCTTCGTTTATTACGGTTTTAAATAAGCCACAGATTGACATATAAGGTATTTACTCCCATGTTCACGTCGCCATATTAACTTCTTCCAATCACTCGATTACAAAACAAATCATCCCAAAACAAAGAATTCATAGTCGACTTTTAAAAGAATAACCGTTGATTTGTAAATCGTTGAATGGAAAGCAAAAAATCGTCAGTTAAAACAGCCTCTTCCTAATTTTCTGCTTTGTTTTGAATGTAAATGCAATTAGCTTTGTTTCTGCCCGCGATGTTTTGGTCAGCGACGACAAATTTCCCACCTGTTGCAATCATTAAGACTGAGTTGCATATAACCCACAAAATGACTTTGTTATTATATTAGACTATTTCACATCTACCGCTTGTCGTGCCAGCGACAACTAACGACCAAATGAAAACTAGGCTTTAGCAGCCACTACAACAACGGGCAGGTGTAGATATTAATACTATTTGTATGCATAAATGATTTCTATACCTCTCGTTAATAGCTGCTTTTATTTTTTCTACTTCTTCCATGTTTTCAATCTCGACCTTCAGTCCTTCTACTTTAATGCCAGCTTGCGATAATTCTACCTGCAAACGTTCTTTTATTTCTCCCGCTTGATAATCTTCTAAAACTTCACGAAATCTCTTATCGGTGAAACAATGCAGTAGAACATCTAGAGATCCTGGTTGGATCTCCCCAACTTCTTGGTCATCTGTATTACCACCAAAGGCTGCTCGAACAGCGTCCACGACTGAGTCTCTAAGCAATCTATCGCCAAGCAGAGCACCTAATTCTATTCCAATGCCAACGACATCATATCCAGGCAATGGTTTTGCCACTTCTATATTGTCAACGTTGATGACGAATACAAAGTGAAACTCAACCGCCATTTCGATTACGAAATTTGCTCTGAAAGACACGAAAATAAATAAAAAGACATCATGCTAAGTAAATAAACCTGTTTTGTAAAACATTTTTGCCAATAAGCATACATATTGATGTTCAATATATAACTTTTTTTATTAAATTGCAGGGGCGGCAGCAAAAGAACTTAGTGCAACGTGCGGTGCTTTTAAATGTCTATATATATAGCTATAGACTATAATCGACTTTATACTCGAATTTAAAGACTGCAGATGTCTTTTAATCTTATATTACAGAGAATTTTATAAAACGTTGCTTGACCGCATGCATTTAACATCAGCAGTTTGTCGCTATCTATAACCATACATTAATTGAGGTTTTACCCCAAAGTATATGAATTGATAAGTATTTTCGTTTTCACTATAAAACAAATAAGATATATTTATTTTTTTATTCTCCGAGGTAAGACTCTCGCACTGACAGTTAAATCGTCTGACCTTTCTTGTTGTATGATAAAGTTCATTACAATTAAGGTTACTATTGTATACATACATATACTGAGATATATTATATGCATGCCATTCAGAACGTTTTGCTCATACCTAAATAAAACCAGCTAGGTAAGACTGCAAACGAATGAATTAGTGTTCAATGGTGGTTGATGGATTTTTTACGCCAATTCGACACATTGCCGTTTTAACGAAATGAAGTGGTTTTCTAGGTAATGTTTATAAAACCAGAAACAGGCAAAACGCTTTTTACCGCACAGCATGTGTCCTAGTAGTTGACCTGCATCTAAGGACGAAAGCGGACATATATTCATTTATACAACGTTCTTTCGTCAAAATCCAAGATCTGATTGGTTATGTTAGTGAATATATGCTATTATAATATAGTCATCCACCGTATATGAGCTGTTCTGCAATCTGATTGGTTGAATTACTCGCCGTATATCAGCTCATATACGGCGAGTAGCGAAAAACAAGATGGCGGTCCAAAAACTACATGAGTTTTGCGAAGCAGAAAAAGGAAAATATTCGCTTTGAGAATAATAATATTACAAGGAAAAACTCTCAAAAAAAATTTGACAGGTTAGCAAAATACATTTATTACGTAGAAATTAGTTTAAATACAAGTTTTTTAAAGAATTAATACCGAAACAACAGCGAAAAAAACATGTTCATTGAGAATATAAATTGTTCAGAAAAGTTTGCAATGAACGACAAATGAATTTGCAGTCAACAAGCACTTACTATAGTACCAAACATCTCTATAATATATCTGAGCTTTCCTGTGAGATATAGAGGTTCTAAAACCATTTCTTTCACTTCGTCTTCGAGTTGTAAAACAAAAGTATTTCAAATTTTCAAGCGGTGTTTGGCCGGAAAAATTGTCAACACATTGTAACAGTGAATAATTTATTACTGCTTCAGTTAATGGCTATATTAGACTATATTATAAAACAATTATACCATTCGCTCTCGTCGAATATGGCTGATAGCCGACTCGGTGCTACGCACCTCGTCGGCTATCAGCTCATATACGACTCGAGCTCATGGTATAATTGTTAATTATTATATACACAAGGTCTGGATATGAGGTATTCTGCAATCTGATTGGTTCTCTACTAGCAGGATATTAGCTCATATCCTGCTAGTAGAGAAAAACAAAATGGCGGCCAAACTGAATTTACGATGTTTTGTAAACAAGAAAACGGCAAGTTGTCGCTTTATATAACCTTTACAGGATTAAAAATAGGTACGCGACGCGTACATGTATCTGCGAAAAAACTTGATTCACATTTTGTATTTTCTTGAAAGAAACTGAATAATGAAGATGACATGGGACAATTGAAATATTTCATCACTTATTATAATGGCAGATAAGATTTAAAACAGGGTTGTACACAGCCGGGAGTGCAGCAGGGCAAATGCTACCCCCACCCCCGCACCGAGAAAATTTAACTAACTTTATCATGATTGATTATCACAGATAATTATGCAGTCAGGAAATAAAAATTTCATGCAAACAATATTCAAAGTGTCTATACAGCAGGCTATTTAGTAAACTGTCACCTATCAATTCAATCCATACTCATCAAATTTTCAAAACTTTATTGTAATCATATGAAGCAAAAGTTATGTCACTTGTTGTTTACACTTGCCAATGTTAACTGTTGAGTAACATACACAAAATATTTGGTGAACATGTCGAAGACCACTGAATAATTGAGAATGTTTTGAAGGTCATGAGTGAAGTATATAATTAAATTCCAGTTCTGTGCACAGTTAATGATATACCACACTGTTCGGTTTAACACGTACAGCACATTCACACAAAAACAATCGTGTTGTGGGAGATTATCGGTTTGACTAGAAGGTATCACAAGTTTAGTTTTGTACATTGTGCCATTGATCAAATCCACCATATAATATATGATTATTCATTGTATCTGTTAAATTATTTTCCATACTAATGAATTTAGGTAAGATTGTCTTGCAAGTTTGTTGTTCTGACAAAATTATCCAGCCAATATCCAGTACATTTATTCTTCATTCTTGTATTAATCTCTAAAGAAAAATATTTATGTTAGAAAGCAAAATGACAATGTAATGAGGCTTGGGAGGGTGAGGATTCTTTTATTTGAAAATGTTTGTAAAAATTTTGTTTAATTAACTCTAAATATGTGTAAAACCAAAATGTATAAGTATTTTAACTGATAACATCTTCAACCTTTGCTCTAACACTACATTTGATGACAGGTTTATAGTTGGACTGTTGTTTTGAACAGAGTTATGGAGTCAATATACAGAAATACAGGACCAGGATTTAATTCAATATCTCCTGAGAATGTTTTCACTGTTTAAAATTTACAGAAGTCACAGAAGGATTGTTTTTAATACTGTATAAATCTTTTTGTGAACTATGTTGATAAATGGCTTAAAATATCCTCGAAAATATCCAATATTTTATACAGTGTAATATATTAATAAAAAATTCCAGAGTGCATTCCATGTAAACTCTACGCCGAAGATACGGCAATATTAACTATAGATAGTATAGTAAATATTTGCCGAACTGGCGAACTCGTGTATTATAAAATATGTGGGACATATATTTGCACAAATTTGGTATTTAAATATATAATATGTGGTATTTGACTACTTACCAGGTGAGGATAAGATTCCATGTTGATAAATAACTTCGGAATAAAAAAAAGACAGCCAATTCAAGATAAATTGATAAAAATATCAAGATATTTTTGAAACAATAACACGATTTATACACGAGGCCTGACGAGGCTAAAGTATGCCCGTTCGCAGGTTAGATGCGGGCACGATGTAAACAATCGATGTAAACGAATCGCTGATTGGCTTAAATTGGCTTAAATTATATAAGCCCGTCGCTGAATGGCTATCTGTTAACATACGGTACGGTACGGTCACGGTACGTTTGCGATAGCATATATATCTGCTTCGCAGATACAAAAACACAATGAAAAAACTCCCACAAATTGTTTTCAGGTTAGCAAATAAATTTTTAAAATTTAAAATGGTTAAAAATATATATTTTTGAAAAAATAATCGGCCGAAAGAGCGAAGATAAAAACATAAACAAAAAAGAAAAGTATTGAAAATATCCGAAAAGCAAAGTCTGTGAATTCAGACCTTGTGTATATAATAAAACAGTTATTCCACTCACTCTCGTCGAATATGAGCGATAGCCGATTCGGCGCTACGCGCCTCGTCGGCTATCAGCTCATATTCGACTCGAGTTCGTAGAATAACTGTTAAATAGTTAACCTGCACCGTAGCAGGTCAACTAGTTAACCTGCCAGGTCAACCATCGTAGCAGGTGAACTAGTTAATAGTTAACCTGCACCGTAGCTGGTCAAAAGCTAAAATCTGATTGGATTGCAACAAGAGTTAATTTGCATGATCATGAGTCATGAAATTTTTTACAAATTGAAAAGCCCAAAGGGAATAAAAATATAAAGTTAAGCCATGGCAGACGTACATGTAGTTATTTGTACTAAAAAAATTTACATCATTGAAATTTGCAATTTGCAATAATACGCACATAGCATTGTTAAGAACTAAAACTGAAGCATGGCTCCGAGACGAGTCAGACGCATTGTAGAAAAGGCCTTAATTAATGAATGAACAGCATAGACAAAATGGTCCAGTTTGGGATATTGTTATAAATGACATCGAGCGAGATGACCGTTTTATGAACATGCCCGAAAACGTGCAGGAGCTATGTGCTAACAAAGCTCTTCCTGTTACGACAAACAGGCCGTAGAACACACGAAAAAAGCTGCGTAACGGTGCATGCATGGCAAGAAGTGAGTTTAAAGCGCCGTTTCTGTCATTGTCAATCAATTGCATTGATCGACTCTTCCATGCATTGACGCACTAATTACTGGCAAATAATATTACTAAGAAAGCGTTGAAGACAATATTTAGCTGCATAAAACTGCTATAACTGAGATTTAGGACCTTCATTCCGTTGTTCGTATATACCATATAAAGTTTCGTGATTGTACAATATGCTGTATGCATTATTGTGTAATACAAGCTGACTCCGGCTGCTGGGAATACTCAGAATTGAGCTAGCTTGTTAATTTATTTTCTAAACTCAAGTACCGACATGCATAAATTCAAATTAAACTATTTCCCAAGAGGTTTTAACAATATCTGTCAACTGTGAGTTTTCGGTTTTCCGTGCACTAACCCCAAAACGTAATTAAGTTATTTGAAAAGTTTGACAGAATATTTCCATGCATGCATATATACTTGTTAGCTGCTTTGCTTAATGTTGCTTAATAGTCGATCACGTGGTCAGTTAAGATGGCGGCAATTCTTTGAGCTCCGTCGCATATTGAGAATTTTTGCTCTTCTAAATCTGTCTTTTGTGTTGTTATTGTCAATTTATGTTGTAAAAATGAGTCAAACCATTAAACTAACTCATGATGAATTTCTGGCTATCTTGGATAAAAAATTAGAGGATAAATTGGGGCCGATTTCTCGAGTAATGGACGACCTTGCGGAGAGTGTAAAATTTATTAGTGAAAAATTTGATCTAATCACGTACTAAACGAATTGATAACCTTGAGACTAAATACACGTCTGTGGAAAAAAGAATAAGTGCTTGAAGGCTGAAGTATTAAGGCTTTCAAATTGTATGGATCAACACGAAGAGGAGATTTATTACATGCAACAATACTCTAGACGAGACTGTGTGGAAATTGCTGGTCTACCTCAGCAGATGGGAGAGAATACCAACGACCTTGTTATCAAATTTGGCGCGTTAATAGGCTTAAGCCTAAGCGAAACCGACATTTCCGTCAGTCATCGTCTACCACAATCCACTGGAAAGGAAAGTTATAGTTCTAGGCTGAGACCTAGAGATGGAGCTGCGTCTAGCAGCTTAAATGCTGCTAATCAGTTTCCTAAAGTCATCGTAAAGTTTACCAGAAGAGAAGTAAAGGAAGCTTTTTATAACGGGCGAAAGCACCTGCGTGATAAGACAACACAGGATATCGGCATGGGTAGATCTTCTAACAACAGAATCTATATCTCGGAGAGCCTAAGCCCAAGAAACAAAGAATTATTTGCCAAGTCTCTGAAGTTTAAAAAAAGAAAATATTTTCAAATATATATGGACACATTCTGGCCGTATCTATCTTCGAAAGAATAAAGATTCACCAGCTTACACTATTACCAGACTGCAAGATCTTGACAATTTGCGATAAGTATATTATATTTATATTTATGTTCAGATATTGATGTCTTCTAACGCACTTCTAAATAATTTACCTAAACTTGAATTAACCTCTTGTTTATCGAATATATCAACACTGAGGGAATCTGATGTTGATAGGAATTTCATCAGTAATGTTGATTTTAA